AACTAATTTTGTTTGGGAATAAAGTCATAAAATGCGTGTTAGTAATATGTAAATTTTTTTTTTTGAAATGAATACATATGGTAGAAAATATCTCAATACAAAAACGTCATAGTTGCTGGTAAAAGAAGCTCACATCTCTCGGAGAGCTCTTTATTCGTTTCTACAGTTCGTTCTCCCTTTCCTTCGAAGTCTTGGTCTTTTCTTCTTCTTCTTATTTATTTTGTTCTTTGCTTTGCACTGTTGCCTTGATTCGCTTCTCTTTCCTTTGCGTTTCGACCCGACTTTGACGTCGTCCAGGAGCCGCCGATTTCCGGCAATTGGCTCATGCGTTCCTTTTTAAATATATATTTGCAGTAATAGGAACAATCTATTCCATCTTTTACAACATAAGTATTTTAATTCTCTTTTTTATTATCATTTATTGTTATTATTTCATTTTATTTGGTGAAAGTTAATATTGAATTGAAAGAATTGTGCGAGAAAAAGGATTTAAAAAAAAAAAAAAATACTTGGAAACAGTATATTTACACATACGTCCCATATCGAAACTCGTGGAGGCGGTAATAAATTTAATAAGGCAGTATTTTGCAGAATCGTAAATACATCTTCGAGTGAATTCGTACAGTACTATTAGAGCGATTGATTGGCGTGCAATTTGTAATCAATAAATCTAACGAACGATTACTTTCTGATACTGGGATATATGGTGCCAAGAAATTTTCTAACGAGCATCTGGCAAAATTTTATTTGTATTGTATATAGACAACGTGCGAGATAAGAGTAACTTTCATTTACAAAGATCAATATTTAAAAGCTGATGAATTAAATATTTTTTATTTGAACCAATAATATTTCTGTGATTTGAACAAATGATTTCTGTAATTTGAAACATATTTAATTGACTAAAATAAGATTTTAAAAATTAAAATTCTATTACAAAAAATGGAAATTTCGAAATTAATCTTCACTTTGTATTTCGCTTTGTAAATTATGTCCAGTGTTTTTCAAAATTATAGCCTTCCATCAATTTCATTCAATTTTATCGCAGCTAGTTCTAAATTCACACAGAGAAAGAGAGAGAGAGAGAGAGAGAGAGAGAGAGAGAGGTCATATTTGATGTTAAACGGAATGATGATGAGAATAAGTTGAAAAATGATTTTGCAATTGCTCTCGATTATCCACATTATGGGTTATCCATTTCTTCGCGTGGTCACGATTTTTGCGTTTTCTATTTATCTGTGCACGTGGCCTATCTGCGATCGATATCTCGAGCGTTCACTTTGATCCCATACAGCGTATATAGTGTGTGTGGAAATATGCCTTAATTAAAAAAAAAAAGTAATTGTTAAGAATTGAAACACTTTTCGAGACAACTTTCTATCAATCAATCACTATTGATAATATAAAGGTTAAAGTGTTAATAAATAATTCAATTAACATTCCATACGCAGGTAAATAAATCATAAATTGTTATTCTCTTATTTTAAATTATAAAAATTCTTGAGATATAACAAAAAAGAGGTTTAAAAAAGGGGTAAAACAAAACTAGGTTCAAATATTAAATACAAAGTTTAATAATGTTTATATAACTGCTATTAAGATCAATTGCGGGAGAAGAATAGGATCATTTGTAACTCGTTGATGTTCGATAAATCTCCATCTTTTATCACTATAAATTCTCAGAGGTTTTTTTGAATTTTTGAATTTTCTATATATTGTGTATAATAAACTTTTTTTACGCAGCATCCGTGTTGTATATATTCATACAATTAGCGTCCTATTATAGATATCAGTATCATTATTTATACCTGAAATTAACATACCTATGTATCTTTATATCATTTTCATCATTCTTCAAAATTCACTATCATACATATATAGTCACATCTATGTTGCGCGTCGATCAAAGCTTTTAATGTCACCTATAGGAAGTTTATTATCAGTCATCACATAATGCATAAAGCTACAATTTTACGACTTTGGCGATTGCTACCTAGAGATAAAAGAGTAAATATCAAACTTTATGGGAATACGATAACATTAATCAATATATACATGTGATTAGGAAGTTTTCAAAGAATCAATTTTTTTAATGGATTTTTTCTATTAACTTCTTTTTTTTTCTCATTTGCTGTTAAAAGTCTTTTACTTTTCAAAGTAAAATCTGTTAAAAGAAATTCATAATGTTTCGTTTTGGAATTCTGGATTTTAAAAAAAAAACTTCACCAATTAAAACTTTTGATATTCCAGTGAAATCTTTCGCTGTTTCAAATAAATTTTTTTTTCTAATTTTATTTTTAATTATAAATAGATTTTTTTTTTTCTTAATCTTTTCTTATTTCTTTTTTTGAAAATATCAAACATTGATGTGGGATTATTAAAAATGACAGTGTCACAAATTGGCAATATAACAATAAGCAATTTGAAGTGCATTTTCTTATGCGGCAATTTCATGCATCGCGTACGTATTGAAGGGGGGAAAAAAAGGAGAAAGAGAGAGAGATAAAAAAAAATGCAAATCTTTAGCCAATAATTGTTCGGCACGTGATGTTGCACATATACGGTGAGTTCTTTGAATTGCGATGGTAAGGCTCTGAGGTCAGGGTCTCGCCACAATATCGTGAGGTCCACAGCGGGATGTCGGTGCTTTTCAACTGCTATACATTTGGAAAAATAATAATCATAATCGTGCGTAATAGCTTTCGAACTCACGATTCGCTTACAAATTATACGTATATCATTCTCTCTCTTTCTATCTTGTGCAGTATTTATTGTAGAAATTACTTTTAAGGCCGTCAGTACACCTTTTGCTACCGCTTCAGGTCACACTGATTTTATTTTACTGACTTATTTTTTTTATATTTGTTACGGTTCTCTCTCTCTCTCTCTCTCTCTCTCTCTTTGTATGTGTGTGTTATACTCGAATGCCGCCTCAAGACACTTTAATAAAAGATCTCAAAAATATTTATTTTTTCTAATTATAAAATTTTTTTTTTATCTATGATTTAGAATAAAATGCAATTTAAAACAGTTATTCTAAATCAGAAATAAAAAATTATTCAAATATTGAATCAATATTGTAAATTTCCATTTTTCTTGAAAAAAAAAAACTATAAACCTGCAATTATTACAGATTTTCTATATAAGATAGAACGCGGAAAATTATAGTTTTAAAATAAGGAGTTTCTCATGAATTTTACAACGTTCAGTGTCAGTAAACCATCCCCCTCTTTTAAAAAGAATGCAAATTTTTTTATTGCAGTCGCTTCTCGACTATAAATTATTTTACTTTACTTTGCTAAATCGTTCAATATTTACTTTAGGAAATGACGTCATTTTTAAACCGTTAGTTGATTGAATAATTCTACGATATAATAATTATAATTATTTTTTTTTTTAGTCTATTAATAAATTTTGATACGTGGAATTTTTTATAATTCATTGTGTATACGAGAATGAGTTATCTGGTGTATATATATATGTGTGATGTGGACCAGGTGACATGTCTCCCGGAAATTCGCTAACTGCGCGCTCCTCTATATATGTGACTTGAGATGCGAAGCCTTTTGTTATGTATTTATGTGCATATTCGCCTATTTGTCGAGAAATTCCACTGCCGTGTTAGCTCTGGGTAGCTCACGACTCGATCCGACGTTCGTTACATGCACGATCGTGAGCGTCGACCCCGTAGAGCGCCTTCACTGACGTGACTCTCTCATGTTCGCGGAGCTTTAACTATTTTTAATCGAATCATGGAATTTCTCCCGAGAGAGAAAGAGAGTGTATGTATGTGTGTGTGTGTGTGTGTTATACGAGAAGCCGCCTTTGCGAAGGGCGCGCTATTTTCAAAGACAGAGAGGTAAAAGACAAGGGACTTTCCGGAAAAACGTCGACAATAGTTATAGATGCATTAAAGTAAAAAAAAAAAGAAAAAAACGATGGAGATTAAATTTATGGTACAAAAGATTAAAATAATGCAAAGTTTCTAAAAGTTTAAATTTTCAAAAATTTGAATTGCTAAAAGTTCGAGTTTCCAAAAGATAGAATTGTTCAAATTTGAAAATTACAAAATTTAGAATTTCCAATTTTCGAATTTTCCAAGGTTTCAGTTTTCAAAAGATATAGAATTCTTATAAGTTCGAATGTCCGAAACTTAAAATGGTTAATAGTTGGAAATTCCAAATGTAAAAATTTTCAATGTTCGAATTTTCAAAAATTTTAATTTTCTAAAGTTTTTTTTTCTAGAATTTTCTAGAAGTTTGAATTTACAAAGTTCGAGTTTCCGAAAATTCGAATTTTCAAAAGTTTTAATTCCTAAAAGTTTGAAAGTTGTAACAAAAATGATAATTTTCTGAATTTTTACTATCTTAATTAAAAAATGACTGTTATTAGCCGTGCAAGATCAATATTTTTTATCATTAAAAATATTTCTTGTTAATAGCAATTAAAAATAATACTTCCTGAATGGTGCACACCTTCACGTTAATAACGGACGAGGATTGATGAAAAAAAAAAATTTTTTTAGAAGGGTTATTACGTTATTTAGGGAGGTGTATATATAGCCAGGGATAAAGTCATTGATCGATTTAATCATATATATAATGTTTGATCGTATCGTACTTAATATTATAATGAGATATGTGTGTATATGTGTAACTTGTTCGTTTATATTTCTCACTTGATTTAACTAACGGAAGTTTCATCGATAATCGAATATTTCGATTAATTACGTCGTAATTTAATACATATATATATATACTTTCAAGTTGTCACATTTAATGAGCTTGAGTTGCTAGTTTACTATCTATAATATGATTGGCAATGAAATATATCGAGTTTGTAAATTTTAATTTTATCCTATATATAGTTAGCATTCTCTTTTGCTATTAATTTAAATAAAATGAAATTAATTTGTTGGCTAATTAAATTATTTGTGTGAAACATTTTTTTAAATTAATACTTTTTTAAATTTATTCTAATATTTATTAAAAATTTTCTAGGTTTTCCTGAAAGAATATTTTATTTGAAGTCAGTGTCTTCTGCTGCCAAATTCAGATGTTTCCATTTCGTCTACGCCATGGTGAGTCTATTTTTTAAGTTTAAATTTTATTGATGAAAAAACTTTATAAATTATCATTTTAAAATTTTAGTTCTTGCAAAAGACTGTTGTGATACTTTTTGCAAATATTAGATTATTAATTTTTGTCAAATAATATTTTTCATGTGAGGCCTTAAACAAAGTTAACTAAAACCTAAATGTAAAATCATATAAATGCATATATATATGGAAATTATTTCCTCTTTCAATTTGGCATCATTTGATCAACTGGCGTATTCGATTAAACCCCGTATGGCACATTAAGCATATCGCATTATACTCCCTTTTCATGCGAATTTTCCGGATGCAATTCACTGGGTTGCATGTCGGTGTTCCAATGCATTGTTCGGAATAAATGCGATGCTTCTTGCAGCAAAATTTATGAGGCTCCGGAACTTTTCAAAGCTGATGCTGAGAGGCAGCTATTCAGGTTTGAATTAAATTCCGGGTTATATATAACATAACTATATATATATAGTTAAGCTACACATCGCTTTATTATAAACTTCACGTGTCGCTACGCGCTTCACTTATATATATATTCCTTATCAATAAGAAAACTCCACTTATTATTACACTCATGTATAGAATTTTCTACGCTCCGCGAAAAGTTTTGTTTCAACTAAATATACCATTTTTTTTTATTAATACATTTTTTTGGTTATTTAAAACGAGATTTGTTTGATTTAAACAAAATTTATTTGATTCAAAAAAATATTTATTTGATTCAAAAAAATATTTATTTGGTCTAAATAAACGTTTAGTTTGTTTTAATAAATTTTTCGAGCAAAGAAAGAATTCAAAGATCTAGAATTTCCAAAGTTTGAATTTACAAAGGTTCGAATTTGCAGAAGGTTGAATTGTTAGAAGTTGAAAATTCCAAAGTTCGAATTTCTAAAAGTTTGAAATTTTAAAACGTAGAATTGTTGGTATTTGAAAATTCCAAAATTTAGAATTTCCAAAGTTCGAATTTGCAAAAGGTTGAATTGTTAGAAGTTGAAAATTTCAAAGTTTGAAATTTCAAAGTTTGAAATTTTAAAATGTAGAATTGTTAGTATTTGAAAATTCCAAAATTTAGAATTTCCAAAGTTCGAATTTGCAAAAGGTTGAATTGTAAGATGTTGAAAATTCCAAAGTTTGAAATTTTAAAATGTAGAATTGTTAGTATTTAAAAATTCCAAAATTTAGAATTTCCAAAGTTCGAATTTGCAAAAGGTTGAATTGTTAGAAGTTGAAAATTTCAAAGTTCGAATTTCTAAAAGTTTGAAATTTTAAAATGCAGAATTGTTGGTATTTGAAAATTCCAAAGTTCGAAATTTTAAAACGTAGAATTGTTAGAAGTTGAAAATTCCAAAAATTAGAATTACCAAATGTACAAATTTTCCAAAGGGTAGAATTGCTAAAAATTCTAAGAGTTAGAATTTTCATATTTGAGAATTCATATAAGTTCGAATATTGAGTTAAATAAACTTTTCGTTGATTTAACCAATTTATTGAACTGCATAGTAATTAATTATTTGCTTGATTCAACCGAAATTCGTTTATTTCAAACAAATTTTTTTCTGAAATAATTTTGTCTATTGGTTAGAAATATAGAATTCGTGTAGGAGAAATTTGTGTATCAGGAAGAGAAACTTTTTTCATTCTACTTTAAATGTTAAGTCGTTCGGACACTGAAAGTGTTTTAAAAAAAAAAAAGTAAACCACGTGCAATTTATGTATCGCGCATTATTCCGTATTCTTGCTACTTTTCGCTGTTGGCGCGCAAATAACTCGACAAACGAAAAATAGTGTAATATTTCTAGGGGGCAGCTGTGCAGTTTGTGCACCCGCAGAGATTCTAATGCTGCCTACTCTTTCTTATTCTTTCACATTGGCCTCTCTTTTCCTCAAATTTATTGCTTTCCTTCTCTCTTTCTCTCTCTCTTACGCTCTTCTTTTCACATGCACTTTTTTCTGCAAGCCACTAACTGAAATCAATCGCTTTCCTTCTTTTCACATCTCCAGGGGGCTTTTCACAAGAACTTGCGCCAAGATAAATGTTACTTGAACTAAATAAAGATACACGGTTATACTAAAGAGTTAGTGAATTTTTTTTTTTTCTTCTTCTGTAACATCGCCGCAAAGAAAGTCTTTGACAAGATTAACATTTTCTTTCAGAAAACGACATGTGACTTAATTTATGCGCGGAAAATAGAAAATGCTTGATTGAAAAATTTTAAGTTTGCAAGCCGTATGACTCTTTTACACTTTTTGTTTTTAAAAAAGAAAATAGTTAATTAATTTATTAATTATCCTTCTATTCAAAAAATATATTCTTTAGAGAAAAAAAGATTACAGAAAAAAAAGGATTTAATTTTCTTTTGAGATGAAAAAAATTAGAGGGTTTCATAGACGGATTAAATTTTTCTATTCATTGAAGCACTATTTCTTTAGTAAAAAAATTTGATTATAATAATGAATAATGTGATGTGAATAATAATTTTTTTTTGAAATTAACTATAAAATAGAAATTTACATGATATACTGAGAAAATAATTTTGATTTAAATAATAGTTTTTTTTTTTAATTATATTATCATTATTAAATATTTACTTGAAGCAAATAATTTTTTATTTTAAGTGAACTGAATTTGAATCAATAATTTCTGTATTTAAATCAATAATTTTTGTGTGTAAATCTATAATTTCTGTAATTGAAACAATAATTTCTTTATTCTAAAACAAATATAATTCAATTGACTTAAATAATTATTTGATACAAGTAAATATTTAATAACAGTCAAGTAATCAATTGAATCAAATAAATTTTTTTTCCAGTGTATTTAATTGCAATTTTAATTAATGATTGAAGATATTTTTAAAACTTTATATTTCTATTATAAAAAAAAATATATATATATTTCAAAACTTTATTTGAATAATTTTTCTACTCTATTTTTTTTTTTAAATATTAAAGAAATAATTTTTCGATAAAAGTTGCATCATAAAGTGAACATTAATGAAGTTGTCGAATGAAGATGTTCGGTGATGCAAAATAGAGCATTAAAGTTATTTTTATTGCTTGAATATACATTTGAAGTTTTCTGAGGGTATGTAAAAGTATATATATATGTACATGAAACTAAAGCGTGACGGATGAGAGTAGGTAAAGCGTGTTGAAGTTAAGCATTCGTGTGTTAAAGAGGTTGTTGGGTTGTGAAATATATTTTTTTTCAAAAGTGACTTTTAAAAAAAGGAATAAAAAAAAAAAATATATGGGAAAATTTTTTTCTATTTTCCTAGCTTCTTTGTAGATAAAACTTTTTTTTTAGAATTTTCTACATTATATTTTTTTTTAAATCTGCTTCATTAAATAAAAAATGGATTAATATTTTAGTTTTTTAAAATTTTTTCAAATTTTCATTTCTTCTTTGACTTTTATGAATGATTGTTGTTATTCCGTGTATATTTAATTAATAATTAATTCATAAATTATTTAATTTAGTATATTTAATTTATTTCACTGTAAAACGAGAGTTATTAATTTAATACCAACTCTAGGTACTAAATTCTTATTTGGTTTTATTTTGATACCTAAAATTGGTACTGTTTTAGTACCTTCTTTTTATAGTGTTTGCTAATTTTTAAAAATTACAATTTTTGGTACAATTTTATTTTTTTAAAATATGTTTTAAATTCATATAAATGCGTTAAATTTTTATAACTCATGAAGATATTTTGCAAACTCTTCTCATCGTTTGCTGTATAATCGTTTTTAATTTATGAACAAGCAAAAGCCGTTTCAACAATTGATAACAATATTCGAATGCAATAAAGTAAAACAGGAGAATTCATTCCTTGTGAATATCTGCACAACGCGTGCGAACCCGTTTGTATAACACGCGATGGAAGCATTAAACAGTCCGCGTTGGCATCGATCTTTCGCTTATATATATATATATATATATATATATATATACATATATATATGTACTACACCCAGGATATCAGGTAGTAGGGTTGAACACGATGAATTTCTAGATTGAAACTTCAGTCTTTACACATTCTTGCTGATAAGAATCATCTCTGTCGTAACAAAATTTTATTATGTCCCTCTATTTTGAGAAACAAAATCTCGATCAAACCGAATGTATAAAGTTCATATATCTTTCTTCGCATTTTGAATACAGACATAAGAATTTAATATTTTTTTGTTTTTTAATTTGGATTAATTAGTTTTAAATACAAATAGAAAAATTGAAATCAAATAAAATTGTTTTTTTTTTTTTAAATGACGTCGACTTCTTTCAATATATAAAATTGGAGATACTCGAGAAGAAAATAATAATTTGTTTCTTTAGATTTATATTTCATTTTTGAGCAATAATCATAAATTTCTTGCTCGTGTTACATCAAAGTTTTTTTTTTTTTTTGCGTGAAAATGATATATACCGATAGATCAAATGATATAACCTGATACCTTGGTGAGTTATTTTTGAATTGAGTTCTGATTATTTATATATGCGCGAGAGTATCGACAAACTAAATTTTAACGTGCTGAAAGTTTTATTAAACTTTTAGTTATTAACAAACTATTTTCTCTGATCATGATCGGTGTTATTCGTTTGATCATTTTGTCGTTAACTACAAAGCTGTTTTGCAAACTCTCGGTACTAACAAACTTATAGACAGAAAGAGAGAGAGAGAGGGGGAGGGAGAGAGAGAGCCAATGTGTTGGGCAAACTATCGTTATAGAAACATTTACGGGCAGTCAAGCACACATGCATTTTTCCGGGCTTATATGGTACCAAGTCTATAAAATAAAAGAAAGAGGAACGTGAGGAATGGTATGCATTTTTAAAGCCAGTAACTCCGTCAACGATCTTCACAGTATGACTTTCTCCCATCTTTGCTTTTTATACGTCCTTCGTGCTATGAATGGTCGATGAGCTGCATTATTACTACTTAAAAAAGAAATTTTTAATACCCTCTACTTCATAT